ACTGAGGAGAAGCAAACGAAATGGCTCAAGAATCTGGAAGTGTGAGAAGGGGAACTCCATGATGCTGTTTCTTGGGTCTTAGGGCAACTATAGCCTAGTTCTCTAGTTTGGTTCACAATGGTTGCCCATACTGAGGACCAGCCAGCCTGCTGTGTTGGTGAGGAAGTCAGGGCAGGTGGGCTCTGAGCAACTTGCACTCACTCCTGCTGCTCTCTCCTCTTCCAACTGCTGGGATGCAGGCGAGTCATCAACCCTTGGAACCTGGTGCAGTAGCCTGCAACAGATAAAAGCCTGCGACCCGCCACCCCTGAAACCTGACCCTTAACCTCTTCCCAAGGGCATGGTAAGGGTGTAAGGGGTGAGGAATGAGTGACAGTGGCTAGCCAATGTTTGAAACATGCAATGGCCATTTTTCTACCCAAAATACTTAGGATACAGAAGCAAATAAAGACCAGTCCCCACACTCAAGCAGGCCCCATAGTCTTGAGGGGAAAACAATTGTTTCCATCCAGGGCACAATTCCCAGTCCAAGTCTTGTGGGCTAGGGGACCCAGGCCCTGAAGCTACTTGCCAAATTCTTCTGAGATGAGAGCTTGTAGATATTTTTCTTTGACCATAGGATGGAGAGGATTCCTTATTTATTTATTTATTTATTTATTTATTTATTTATTTATTTATATTATGCCCTCTTTTATAGTGAAAAACAGCTCAGGGAGGTGGTGCCAAGACTCAAGCTACCCCTCTTCAAAGGCAATGTGCTCTTTCTACTGTTCTTGCTGCCCTGACCAGAATGGAGGAAAGAGAGCTGGCTCTGCTGTGTGCCCACTGTGTTCTGAGTGGCACATTGGTCACTCTGCATACTTGGTTCTACCTAATCCTAACCCCCAAATAGCTCCACATGGGTTTTTATTTCTTTTCCCATTTTGTAGATAAGCAAACTCACTCAGAGAGGTTAATTTGACCAGAGTAATCAAGCCTACAAGTGGAGAGCTGGGCTCGCCTGCAGGCCTGTTTAATCCAAAGATTCCTATTGTAACACCCTGAGAACTCACGTGCAGATCTGAGACTTAGGGGGTTAAGAACACAAGAATTACAATTAAGCCTGGCCCTGAAACCAAGAGCCTATTTTGGGGTTAAGAGCCCTGAGATTCTTTCTGATCACCAGGCAGGTATCTCTGAATGTTTCTGAATTGGTTTGTTTGTGGAGACTAACATGGGGGCCCTGAATGGGTCAGTCTTTTGCCCCTGGGTTATGTTTTAGCTACACTTATCCATCCTCATCCCAGCTGCCAGTGTAAGAGAGGGTGTTTGTGGAAAGTAGGCCTTGAGGAAGGGACTGTTATGTTTCACCAATTAGCAAAGATATATGTGGTAACTATTTTTGCTCTTAACCCCAAAATAGGCCCTTGGTTTCAGGGCCAGACTCAATTGTAGTTCTTGTGTTCTTAACCCCCTAAGTCTCGGATCTGCAAGGCCCATAGGAAGAGCCTTTTGACAATCGCCCACAGAGCTTTCATCTAAAATCTCTTTTGTAAAGGCAGGAATATGCTTTTCCATATGAGGTATCTGTATTCAGAATATGGGTCTGATATGGAATATTGTGAGGCCTGGTCAATACCAGAAGGCTAATATCCAACATGAGCCAATAGTAGCAGAAGGAGATACCAGTTTTCATTTCTCATGGCAGGAGCTGCAAACATTGTCACTTCCTTGCTGTGACTGCCATCCAGAGAGGCCGGTGAGGCTCCCGGCAGGTACATGTACCCCAATGTTCATAGCAGCACTCTCAACAATAACCAAAACATGGAAACAGCAGCAATATCTTGAACCAATATCAGTTCAGAGCCAGAGTCCAGTATCCCCTCCCCTAGCCTGATATCAGCCTCAGACCGCCAGGAACAAGCCTAGCCTATACTCCAACCAAGTTGGGGTCATGGAGCTATTACCACAAGGGTGACAAACATGAAGTTTGGGGTGTCACACCAAACAAAGGAAAATGGAGTTGTTACAGGACTTCAGGGAAGGGTGTTTAGGTGAAATCTGTCTGAAGTAGTGCTCGAATGGGCAGGAAGCAAAGCTGGGCTGTGAGTAGTGGGTCCACATTAGTTCTGGACTGTGAAGTGGACCCAGGCTCCTATTTCCCTGGAAACCACAAAATTTAGATGTAGAATGTAGTGTCTGAAACTTCTTATCTCGTTCCAGTTGTAAATCAAGGCTGTTTCTCTCTGTCAGTGACTTAGATCTGCCAGGAAAGGGTGGGTATTTCATTCTTGATAATTTATCACACATTCCTGTTAGTCTGTGACATTAGAGAACAAAGTTCCTCAGTAAGAAAACAGATGTAAAATGTCATGACATTTTAAAGATACATTTTTTTTTTCAGGAAAGTATTGTCTCCTATTAACTTTGAAGCCAGCTTGAAAGGAGATCCTTGGAGCAAAAGCAGTTAATTTGTCTCCCTTCCTAAAGGGCCCTTCTCTAGAAGCAAAAGTTCTAACTGGATAAAAAGCTTCAAGGTCCTATCTCAGACTTAGAAGCCAGGAGAGCCAGAAAGGAGCTGCTAACACAACTTCCAGAGACTAAAATTTCCAGTCACTTCAGGAAAAGACAGACATTCCCTCTCTTTTATGTGGAACATGCCTTTTGGGCAATGGTTAGTGAAGTCATAAGCCAGAGGCTCCTAACTTTGGACTGTTTTGTCATTTTCCTTCATTGATAAAACACCTAAAAGACCCATCTACCAAACCATGTTTAAGTAAAATGTACCATTTGGAGTCAACAGATAGGCCAGCCTTGGGGCTGCAAGCTCCCTGCCAGCACTGCCTTCATTTTTGGAGTGCTGGGGTGCAGCACGTCCTCACCTGCTGGACTCAGGAGGTATCAAGAGCCTGGGCAGTGGAGCCACACAGAGAGCACTGCCACTGAGCAGACTCTCTGCCTCAGGTCTCACTGCGAAACAGGGTAAATAAAAGTACTACATCACTTAATTGATGTTGAGGGTTAAATGAGAAAAACCATGCAAAGCATTAATCACAACGCCTGGCACATGCTAAGGTAAAAAAAAGTAAAGGTTTATTGACTGAATCACAATTTTCATTCAGCATATAACCATTATTATCACAGTAAATTCACTCCCATTTTTATTTTATTTTTTAGGTCAAAGCTATTTGTGATGAAGTATGCTTAGGAGGATTATCACCAAGAGGCAGATTTTCCAATCAGCTTTTCAACATTCTAAGACAAGTAAAGTCCACTGCCACTACTATATGGACAACAGCCTGGAAAATAAGACCTGAAGTACAGGTCAAGTCAATGTAAGAAAAAGACTGGAGTCAAATTCCAATAAAGCTCCTTTAATAAACAGGAAAAGTGGAATAATTTTACTAGTGAAAATGACACTTTATAGTGTCATATAGAATAAAATGGCTAATTGTTCTTATTTCTTTCTTACCTGATTCTTATATACAAAACACCATTCCATTATAGCTTATCCCAAATATTAACTGGTCAGTCCCCTATGAAGTGTTTGTTCATACGGCATTCAGCTGTTCATCAAAGACTCTAAGCTACTTTCAGCTGCCAGATTTCAGCTTCTAGAACTGTGTCTCATAGACTGCTGTTGCTGAATTTCTCTTTATTAATAACCTGTTTCAGCCCATTTTGATGATAAACTTTCCCCCACAAAACAAGCAGGAAAAGTGCTAAAGAAGTTTCTGGAGAGCAGGGTTCTGAAGATCCTGAAATGAACCACTCATAAGTGAACCAGGGACTGAATCACCGCAGGCAAGGATGGCAACTCTGAAAACTAGGCTTAGAAATACAGAGCTCCCAGGACATTTGTCATCTCAAACATCAAGAACCAAAGGACACTGAGACGTTGCTGACCAACATCCCTCTGGAGGACAAAAGGCACCCTTAAGGCATGCACACAAGACTTCCCAGGCTGATAACCAGCACAAATACCTACCTACTAAAGCTGCTTAATTACCCTGCCTCACCTGAAGTCCTGCCCTCCGGCAGCAGAAGGACCTGCTGCTCCTCACCAGAGTCTGCTTAGTGCCAGGCTGTCCAGTAAGAGGAGACAGTTAGGATCACTCACCTTCTCCCCCCAGGACACTGATACGGATACACCAACTTTGGTTTTGAGAACAAAACCTGTTAAGTCATATTCCATACGCCACTGTGTGTCTACTTTATGGTGATTTTCCTCCCAATTCACAGGATTTTGTCTTTCCTAATTACCTTGTAGAAAAACCCATTTTACCTGTGTCACTTGACTTCTTAGCAGGATCTTAATAGTTTTAATCTAAACACAAGCCTCATGTCATTCCTTAACAAACTTTGCTCAAGCTTGTAAGGTTCCTCTCCTGTCTGAATTATCTGATGCTTAAAAGGGATAACATTTTTGAAGTTAAAGGGACATTCCTCACAATAGAACGAAAACATTTTGAAGAGCCCCAAACCAGCAAACCAGGAAATCCCAACCTGGCTCTATCACAGTTTAAAGTGCAAGGATTCCATGGGGCGCCTGAGTGACTCAGTCGGTTAACCGTCTGACTTCGGCTCAGGTCATGATCTCACAGTCCGTGGGTTCGACCCCCGCGTTGGGCTCTGTGCTGATGGCTACCTCAGAGCCTGGAGCTTGCTTCAGATCCTGTGTCTCCCTCTCTCTCTGCCCCTCCCTCGCTCGCTCTCTGTCTCTCAAAATAAAATAAAGACATAAAAAAATAAAAAATAAATAAAGTGCAAGGATTCCAGTCAACTTTTCTTGAACTTGAAATGGATGGTGACAGGGGCGCCTGGGTGGCTTAGTCGGTTGGGCGTCCGACTTTCGCTTGGGTCATGATCTCGCGGTTCGTGGGTTTGAGCCCCGCGTCGGGCTCTGGCTCTGTGCTGACTGCCAGCTCAGGGCCTGGAGGCTATTTCAGAGTCTGTGTCTCCCTCTCTCTCTGACCCTCTCCTGCTCACGCTCTCTCTCTCTCGCCTAGAAATAAAAAAAAAATAAAAAAATAAAAAAAAAAATGGATGGTGACAAGAAAAGCAAGTGGCCATATACAATACCTCATTGCACCTTAGGGTCTGGAGCTATGAAAACATGATTTTAAATAAATATATTTAAACTGTGCTTGTTTAAACTACTCAAGCACAGGGCCACCCTCTGAATCTGAGGGTAGGCATGTGACTTTGGAATTTTTAGCACATAATTTGGCAGCCTGCCTTTAGTTAACAGTGCACTAGGAGATTGTTAAATCACTGGAGACATGAATCTCCAAAATGAAAGCTGTACAGTTTTCCCATCAGTATACTGCCTCTGATGTAAAACCGTGAAGACTTTATTGAATAAAGCGGAGTTATTCTCCATTGTGAACTTTACGATGCTGAATGAAAGCTGTCTGTGCACTAAAGGGGGCCCCACAATTAATACTTATAAGCTTGCTCTCCAGTGTGAATTTTCTCATGACTAGTAAGAGTTATTCTGTGACTAAAAGTTTTCCCACATTCATTACACGTATAAGGTCGTTCTCCACTGTGAACTCTCTGATGACGAATAAGGTGAGAGCTTTGTCGGAAGGATTTTCCACATTCAGTGCATTTGTAGGGTTTCTCTCCTGTGTGAATTCTCTTGTGTTGGATAAGGGACAAGCGTGCACTGAAGGCTTTCTCACATTCATTGCACATATAGGGCTTCTCTCCAGTGTGAATCCTCTGATGCTGAATAAATTGTGAATGCTGACTGAAGGCCTTGCCGCACTTCTCACATTCATAAGGCTTCTCCCCTGTATGGATTCTGTGATGCTGGATGAGAGAGGAGCGGACATTGAAGGCCTTCCCACAGTCACTGCACTCATAGGGATTCTCTCCAGTGTGAATCCTTCGATGGCGGACAAGATGTGCACTCTGGCTGAAGGCTTTTCCACAGTCTCCACACTCATAGGGCTTCTCCCCATTGTGCGTTCTCTCATGCTTAATTAGGGTGGATATCTGCCCAAAAGTTTTCCCACACTCATTACACTCATAGGGTTTCTCTCCAGTGTGGCTCCTCTGATGCTGAATGAGGTGTGAGCCTTGACTAAAAGCCTTCCCACATTTGTGACACTCATAGGGCTTCTCACCATTATGGACTCTCTGATGCTGAACAAGGGAAGAGAGCACACTGAAGGCTTTATCACACTCATTACATTCATAGGGCTTCTCACCATTGTGTGTCCTTTGATGATGAATGAGATTGAAACTCTGGCTGAAGGCTTTTCCACACTCATTACACTCATAGGGTTTCTCTCCAGTGTGAATTCGCTGATGCTGAATCAGATGTCCTTTTTGACTGAACGCCTTCCCACACTCATTGCATCTGTAAGGTTTTTCTCCAGTGTGAATTCTCTGATGCTGGATAAGGGACAGGCGAGCACTGAATGATTTTCCACATTCATTGCATATATAAGGCTTCTCACCAGTGTGAATTCTCTTGTGCTGAATGACTTGGGAACGTTGACTGAAGGATTTTCCACATTCATTACACCTATAGGGTTTCTCTCCAGTATGAATTCTCTGATGAACAGTAAGAGTTCGGTTCAAGCTAAAGGATTTCCCACATTCACTGCATTCATAGGGTTTTTCTCCTGTGTGAATTCTCTGATGTTGAATGAGAGATAATCGTGCACTGAAGGCTTTGCCACACTCAGTACAGTCATAAGGTTTCTCTCCAGAATGAGTTCTCTCATGTTGAAGGAGGTGTGACTGTCTACTGAAAGCTTTCCCACATTCCTTACACTTGTAAGGTTTCTCCCCACTATGAGTTCTCTGATGATGAATCAGGTTAGAGCTATGACTAAAGGCTTTCCCACACTGATTACACTCATGAGGTTTCTGCCCAGTATGAATTTTAAGATGTTGACTGTAAGATGAACGTGCACTGAAAGCTTTTCCACATTCACTGCATTCATAAGGTCTTTCTCCAGTGTGAATGTTATGGTGCTGAATGAAGTAGGAACAAGCCCTGGAAGATTTGCCACACTCAGCATAGGTGTGGGGCTTCTCTCCAGTGTGACTTTTCTGATGTTGAGAAAGACCTCTACTCCAGCTGAATGGTTTTCCACACTCAGTACACTGAATGGATTTCTTTGGATTGTTAACCCTCTGATTTTTGACAAGAACTGAACTCTGCCTGGCCACTTTCACAAACACATCTGTCTGACACGATCTTTCTTCTAGATGGAAACATGGAAGATTAATGAGGTCCTGAGTTTGGTGAAAGTCATCTACACATGGCACACTCTGGTGGAGGCTCTCCCCTCTAGACCCTCTATGAAATCTGACAGGGTTTGGGTCTGCAGTGCAGTTTACCTCCACGGGATTGGATATCTGGCCTTCTCTCCTAATAGGGGTTTTCACAGGTGTCAATGTCACTGGCTTGGAATTGTTCTTCTGGGAGAAGGATTTCTGAAATCCTTCCACTGCAGATTTTTTCCAGTAATTCTTTATCTTTCCCTCAGTTTTACACATCTCTTCAAAATCAGATTTCTTGAATACATTTCTTACATGTTCTTCTGATTTTGTTCTCTGAGACTCCATTGCTTTGGAAATTTCCTGCTTTGGAGTTAATTCCTTCTTTTCCATTTGAGACTCAAAACCTGAAAGAATGATGAAAAGTGAGTTATGTGTATTCTACTATGGGAAAAAGAATTAGAGCATAAATAGGAACATTTATATGAAACAAGTATCTTCTACAGGATACTAGATTTTCAGAATGCAAAAGCAAAAACTGACCTTACTGGGATGAGGACGGATGGGGGAGAAACATTCTATCAAAGCAACAAAAGCTGGTGTAGGGAGACTGTTGTTTAACATAGTGCTGGAAGTCCTAGCATCAGCCATCAGACAACAAAAGGAAATACAAGGCATCAGAATTGGCAAAGAAGAGGTCAAACTTTCACTTTCCGCAGACGACATGATACTCTACATGGAAAACCTGAGAGACTCCACCAGAAGCCTACTAGAACTGATCCAAGAATTTAGCAAAGTTGCAGGGTACAAATTCAACGTACAGAAATCAGTTGCATTTTTATACATCAACAATGAAGCAACAGAAAGAGAAATCAAGAAACGGATCCCTTTCACAATTGCACAAAAGACCATAAAGTACCTAGGAATAAACCTAACCAAGGATATAAGAGATCTGTATGATGAAAACTATAGAAAACTTATGAAGGAAATTGAAGAAGACACAAAGAAATGGAAAAACATTCCATGCTCATGGATTGGAAGAATAAATATAGTTAAAATGTCATTACTACCCAAAGCAATCTACACATT